CATCTATAGCTCGTGCATGACCATCTGAATCTCTGAAAATACCAAACTCATCCGGTATTAGTGAATTTAAATCAAATTTAAGTGTTTGTACCTCGGATGGTGTTGTGGCAGGTTTGGTTGGTGGTTGAAGATTAATATCGAGCGAAGGGGAGTGCTTCGTATCGGTCGATGGTTTGTGGAATATGTCGGTCGACGGTTTGAACTCTATGTCGATCGATACGGGTTCTGCAGGTTGGATCTCGGGTGGTAGTGGTGCTGTATCCACTGCAAAACTTTCGTGATAAGTGCTGGCCCAGCTTCCAATCGAGTAATCTCTGTGGTGTGGCTCATGTGGGACATAGACTGGTCTGCAGTAAGGTTCATCGCTTGTTGACTCGAAACGTCGTTTGAGCGATCTGGGTGGAGGCATATCGGTCGATGGACAGGGCGGCGTATCGAGCGATGGGCGTCGGAGGAAGGTCGGGTTAGGAGGGTTTTCTCCATCTTCTCGAAGAAATCGGTACTCGATGCCGCGTTCCTCCTCATAATCATCATCATACTCCTCCTGAGTAGTGATACTAGCTAGCTCGGGCATGTAGTGATCGTTTTCCCACTCATTTGCATTGAAATCGGCGTCTTGGAACTCGTCTTCGATTCGTCGGAATAATACATCGAGCGATGACCAGGTAGTGCTGTCGGTCGATGGTGCTGCAACGGTATCGGGCGATGGAGAGGTGGTGTCATCGGTCGATACTGCTTCTTCGGTTTCATACTCTTCCATAGAATCGTACTCGTGGGCACAAAACAGGTGGCTACGAGTGTTGAGCTTGCTGGCCTTGGAAACTTGATGACTGGAACAGGGTTGTAGTGGATGGAAGGGTTGCTAAGGGTTAGGTAGAGCCTGTTGGTTTGTAGGTCACAAACAGCTCCAACTGTGGCTAAGAAGGCTCTTCCAAGTAGTAGAGAAGTCTTGAAGTTGAGCTTGTTGGAGAGGACATGGAAGTCTGTAGGAATTAGGGTTTCTCCAATCTGTACCTCAAGGTTGCCAACGATGCCTCCAAGGCTCTGTTGAGAACAATCCACAAAGATGAAAGTTTCTTCAGAAGGCTCTATCTTCAGACCTAGATGATCTGCCATAAGCTTGGGTAAGATGCTAACTCCAGATCCTGTGTCACAGAGGGCACGTGGGAACTCAACACCTCTGATGGAGCAAGGTATTGTGAACTTCCATGGATCACTCTTCTTCTCCAGTGTTATCTTCTGCTTGAGGCTACCTCTGACTTGGTTAAACATCCTCCTGATGTCTTCTTCTGTCTCTTTGGTTTCTCTAAAGAACATCCACAATATGTGTGAAAAGTAGGCTTCTTCAAAAGGTTTCTCTTTAGGTATTCTGAGGACTCTTTTTCTGAAGCATGACAACTCCTTCTCATTAGCTTCTCTTTTATAGAGCTTAGGTATCTTCTCTTTCCTTTTTCGGAGAACTCTTCCCTGATTTTCCATTTTTATCTCCATGGACTCAAAAATATCCGTGGGTCTCTCTTGTAAGGCTGTTGTAGGGTTTTTGGTGGTGTAATATCTCTCCCGAAAAGCGTCAAGACGTGCACTGTCGATCTTAGGAAGCTGCACTCGGCGTTGGGGTACTGTGTATCGATCGACACTGGCTGGAGTGTGTCAGTCGATATCAGGGTCGTGGTGTCGGTCGATGATGGGCTCATTATGTCGATCGAGGACAGGTGTGGGCGGGTGTGGGTGACGTGCGGCGAATTCGGCGTGAGACATAATCTTGACGGAATTGCACTCGCGAGGGTTTTCGTCGGAGTCCATCGATCGACACTTGTCAAAGTCGATCGATCGACGAACTAAAGGTGATATCGATCGATGTTGAGCTGGTGATATAGATCGATAGTAGTCATAGGCGAATTCTCTTTCACTCTCATCATCAGATCTCTGAATCTCTTCTACTAACTCTTGCCAAAAGTCATCATCTAGGAGGCCATTGATGTTCTGGGTGTGGGCAAACTCCTGCTTCTTAACTGCTTCTCCTGTCTGAAACACTTGGGTCTCTAGCTTCTTCACATGGGTGTTGAAGGCATTTATCTTCGTGATGAAGGTGGTGTAGACAGAATCGATCTTTCCATTGAAGTTTACCTCGAGCTTCTGCTGACTCTTAAGTATCTTGTCTATCAACTCCTCCAGTTTAGTATCTTGGGTGGGTGGGTGTGGATTTGAGTAGAAGAAACTTCCATAGCTTATGTTGTTGTTAGGGTTGCTGCTGCTGAAGGTGTTGGGCTTCTGGGAACTCTGGTTAAAGTTGCTTCTCTGGCCTGTGAAGTTTCTGTATCCTCCTTGGTTACCAGATCTCTGAAAACCAGCTCCACTAATCCAGTTGACATCTTCTTCAACAATGTCTGAATCTTCCACTGAATAGATCTGCTTGTTTATGAGCTTCTGAATGTTGTCTAGCTGTGCTTGAACTTCATTGACATACTCCTTCCCAAGGGATGATGTGGTCTGTGGCATAGAGTTTCTTGTGCTGTTGCTGGAAGCTTATCAATTAGCTTGATAGAATTCTGAGGATTCCTGGTGGTGAAGTTGCCATCACTAGCTGTATCAAGGGCTCTCTTGAAATCTGGGCTGATGCCTCTGTAGAAAGTGCAGAGCAGTTGCACTTTGTTGAATCCATGGTGTGGGCAGTCTCGCTGGTAGGACTTGAATCTGTTCCAAGTATCCTTGAATGACTCTTCAGGGGCTTGGGTGAATGTAGCAATTTTCTTCCTCCAGTCTTCAGTGCGTGAATTATCAAAGAAATTACGCAGGAAGGCGTGCTTGATATCACTCCAGGTGGTAAGGGGAACCTGGTGGTAGTTGTCTCAGCCACTGCAAAGCTTCTCCAGATAGAGAGTACTTGAAAAGCTTGCAGAAAAGATAGTCTTCAGGGACTCCTTTTGCTTTGACTAGGGTGACAAGATTCTCGAACCTTTCCAGATGGTCCATAAGATGCTCATGGGGAAAACCACAAAAAGGGATTTGTCCTACAAGTGTGTAGTACTGCATCTTGAGCTCAAAATCTCCTCTCTGAATAGCAGGAGGGAGGATGGCTGATCGGTTTGAATAGAACTGATCCGGACGGTTGTAATAAGCCAAAGTTCTGGTCTCTTCTACAGGTTGAATTATGTATGTGGGTGCAGTCTCTTCTTCAGTAATGATCTCCTTCTGATCATTCAGCTTCTGACCTGCTGCATTTCGCAGGTGACCATCTTGATCACGCAGATCTCCATTCTCATCGGGTATGAGAATCATAGGCGCTACCATGTCTCGCCGGTTAGTATCGATCGATGTAAGGTGAGGTGTATCGATCGATGTCAAGTGAAGGGTATCGGTCGACGAACGATTGTTGATGTCTATCGATGAGGTGGTGTTGGTGTCGGTCAACGAACGGTTGTTGATCGTCGGTGGAAAGCGCGTATCGGTCGATACAGAGGTGTTGATATCGATCGATGTGGAGCGTAGGTCTTTGCGGATGCTACGTTCCAGATTATTGGGATCTTCTGAGTACAAAAGTTGCTTGTCCTTGTTGCTCCTAGTACTGCTGGACATGTACCTGAAAGAGACAAAAAGGAAAAGAAAAAATTTTGTGTCAAAAGATGGAAAAATAAAAAGTAACAAATAACCTAGACTGAATCAGATTAAATCTAATAGTGATCTTAGTTACCCGGCAACGGCGCCTTATTTGATGTCACTCAAATGTTTAACCCTAAGGAGTGATTTACTCTCTCAAATAAGAGGTTCAATCGTAGTACTTAGGGATCGAATCCACAAGGAACTAGAGTCACAAAAGATATAATCCTAAGTGATTAAGCTAGTTTGAAAAAAATTTAAAACAATAAATAAAAATAGGTAGCAATGGTAAGTTGCTAAGGAAAATAGGTTTTGGGTTTGAAAACAATGAAAGAAAGTAGTTAGATTTAAGGTTACTATTCAGAAAATCAGGATTATAAATCTATGGATGTCTTAACGAATTGCTTGCAAATATATGAGAACTTCAATCCTTAGATGAATCTATAGCTGTCGCTATTAGACTCATCCATTGATCTGATTTTCGACAGTATCGATCGATGTTGCTATCGCAGTGTCGATCGATATATGTTGCCGTCGATCGATGACTCTAGAGCAGTATCGATCGATATATAGTATCAGATCGGATTGAAATTGTGTTCACCCGAGAATTTCTATCAGACCGGCTGTCGCATCGCGCCTTAATAGAGTCTGGGCTTAGCCAAATGATTTCAGGAAATGACTATTAGATTAGTCACTCCATAATCATAACTCTAGGTAGCAAATCTAGAGTAAGCATTAGGGTTCATTTGGATAATGAATATAACAACTCAATATAGCTTGGGGCTAATCCCTCATAACTATTTGAACCCCAAATCTAACAGATGAATCTACTCAGACATAGCCAAGAGATTTATAGCAAAAGAATAAGATGAAACGAAAATACTTTTATTGCTCAAGTAAAAATAGAATACAAAACTTTCTTAATAGATCTAATGATGTCTTTCTAGGGCTCATAGGCATAACTATAAATATGGAGTACAATTAGGTTAAAAACTCGTCAGGGGCAGTCTTGTAATTTGGTGAGAACTTGGGCTTCAAGTCAGCCAAGTAATTCTTGCTCATCACGCTCTGTATCGATCGATGGTACATTGCGTACATCGATTGATGGAGTATCTCGACTTCAACTTCTACGGAATCGTCATCGATCGATTACACAAGGTGTGTATCGATCGATATGTGTCTCTCAATGTTAGATCTTCATATTCAACTTGTAAAACTCTCCTTTAAGCTCCATAAGGCACCTAAATCATCACTTTACCACAAAATGCTCTTGAACCTGAAAACATACCTAATAGACTCCAAAACATAGATAATTATAATAAAAACATATAGAAATCATGACCAAAAACAAGTCAAAATTATGGTATATCATGCTTCGTAGAGGATACGAGACCTACAGTGTGATGCCGAAAGATGAACAAGAGATATGGTTCCATAGTTTTGCGGTAATTTTAAAATTGTTTTTAATTTTGTTTTATTTATTTTTATTATAAATTTACTAATTTCTCTTTTTACCAGCAACAATTCAATTGGGAGTCGGGACATACCAAAAGGGTCCGACAGGCCTTCAATGAGAAGGTCATGGAGTCTTACAAAAACACGGTCTATGAATGGAAGGTGCTCTTGCGCAAGGGCAAGAATCCAAAGTTCATCAACGATACCGTTTGGCAAGACTTGCAGGTGCATTGGGAGAAGGAAGCGACCAAAGTGAAATTGAGCAGAAACTCACACAACCGCAACAGCGACCGTGACGGGAAAAGGTCGTTATGTGCACAACCTCGGGGCTTGCAACATGTCGACTAAGGAAGATCAGCCTGTAAGTTTACATATTTTTAAGAATTATTTTTAATATATTTATTGATTAATATTTTTAAGAAGTATTATTTTTTATATATATTTTGTAGGTCGAAGCAAATGGCGGTAATCCCGTCGATATTCTCGATTTCTTAAAGGTGGCATACACGAACAAGAAGACGGGTGAAATTCAGGATCCCGCAATCAGAGAGGTCGTGGAGATGGTGCAAACACAAAAGAAGCATTTCTAGCTTCTCAGCCTATCTCTGATGGCAATTCCGATGCAGCTATTTCCACCAACTTTTCCCGATTCCGAATTAACGAAATGGTGGAATAGGTATTTTGAAAAAAATTAATTTCATTATTATTATAATTCAGTTAATAATATTTAACTAATTTTCTTTCTTTTTAATATGCGGTCCCAGGGAAGAAATGACGTCTGGTCGGTTTGGCATGCCGTGCCGGTTCGTTTCCTGCTGCTTCATCTTCACAAGCTCAAAGTGTTGACCCATAAATTACGGAGGAGCTGCAAAACAAGGGTGAGCGCATTGTAGTGTTGGAGGAGCAGAACCCTACAATACTTGCTGAATTGGCGGAACAGAAGAAGCACAATAAAGTTATAATGGACAAGATGAAGTGCCTTTTCCCGCATGAGTTTTAGTTTTTTTTTTTTTTGTTTAAAAACTTTAAAATGTTGTTTTTAGTTATGTAAAACTTTATTTATAATATGTGTTTTTAATTTCAGTTTTTGTGAATTTATAAAAATAAATTATAAAATACAAATTTCTTACAAAATAAATATATATATTAAAATATTTAAAAAATAATTAAAAAAAAGAAATAACCGACGGCCTAAGCCCGTCAAAAATTTCTGACGGTAAGAGTTCGTCAGAAATTTCCAACGAAACATTTTGGTTGGAAATTTCCGACGAACCTTAGCCGTCGGAAATTTCCGACGAACCTTAGCCGTCGGAAATTTCCGACGGGCATATGCCGTCTGAAAATACTGACGATAGTCGTTGTCCGTCAGAATATATTCTTATGACTTACTGACAACTTTCCCGACCAAATTCATCGTTGCTTATCCGTTGGAAAATACCTCCATTGGAAAGCCTCAGAAAATCGTTGGTATATTTTGACGAATTTCCAACGAAGTTTGTTTTTCCGACGAGTTATTTCTGACGACCGTTTTCGTTGGATTGGCGTCGGAATATAGCTATTCCGACGACATTCCGACGAAAACGGCCGTCGGAATGCATCTGTTTTCTTGTAGTGACCCTATTAATCCTCCAACTGTTGCTCCCATGGCTACCCCCCCCCCACACTAAAAGTGACTTCGGTAACTCAGTCTGCTACAGGGGGTCCTAGTCTAGTCACTGATGTTCCTTTGATGCCTTCACTTGTAGAACCCTCCCTCATTGATAAGATTCATAGGTCTGAGGACGAATCTCTTAAGAGGTTAGCATCTGTCACAATAGCAGAGAATGGCCAGCCTCATGTCCTTGTTCTGAATGTTATTTTCCAAAAAGGAGTCTACCTCCACAAAGATTTCATCGTCTGCTACTTCAAAGGACGGCCTACTCATTCCAATCAAATTCAAAGCGTTTTAAACTACATGAGGAGTAAAGAAAAGCGCTTAGAGGTTCATAACAATCCCAACAATCGGTCTATTCTTGTGAGAATTATTAGTGACTATCTCAAACAAAAGATTCTAGAGATAGGTAGATGGTATGTGGGCTATTCCATGTTCCATATGGCACAATGGACCTTAGATCACTCAGCCAATCACCATCGTTACAATCAATCCAAATTTGAACACACTTGACAAGGGTTCCTCTAGATCCAAGGCACAAGGCAGACTCACTTTAGTTGCGGGGTTGGTAGGAGAACCTAAAGAAACCGATTATTTTACTAAAAACCTTGTCAACCTCACTCTATCTCATGTAAAAGTAAAAGTCGACCTTACCAAACAGCTTCCGGATGTTTTCAAGTTCAGTAGGCAGTCAGGTGAAATTGTTAAAGTGATAGTCTCTTACATTTGGCTGCCACAAAATTGTTCCCACAGCAAAGAGTTTGGCCATATTGCTAAAAACTGTCTTCTCTTGCCACCTCCAGAAAAGGTGCCTGAACCTGCAAAAAAACGTTAGTAGTAAGGGAGTCGTTTATGTCAAAACTAAAGACATAGTTAAGAACATCGTCTCTACTTCTACTGCTCAAGGCATAGCCTCGGAGTTGCCTCCTATTGTTCCTGAGATTCCTATTAGCATCACTATACTTGTCTCACCGGTTGATCTTATGGATATTAACCCTCAAATTCCTCTTCCAACCTTTCCCCCACCATGTCCCAACCAAAAACCAAATTATCCCCTTCTCTACTACCTTAGCCAGCCCTCTGAAAGAAATCCCTCCAATTTTTTTCCTCCGACCCTGACCTTTTCTCCAACCCTGCTTTAAAGCATTGTCGGTCAAACCCAACCACTAATACGTACCCCTCTTTTCCCGCCCAAATCCTTCTATCTTTTCCCCAATCTTTAATTCTCCAAAATATAAAAACCTCAAACTCTTTTACTTTCTTAAGTCCGGATCCCCCTCTTCCTTCCCAGGGAGAGTCTATTCCTCCCCAACGAGTACAAAACTCTGTTTTGGAATGTTTGTGGTCAAAATGATTCGGAAAATCATGTCCCATTTTCAATGGCTTATATGTAATAACCCTACTTTGGTGCTCTTTTAGAAACCCATAACAAAGATCAAAATTTGAACCATTTGATGTGTAAACTCTGTAGAGACTGGAACTTTGCTTCTAATCATAATTCTGATGATGATGATCGGATAATAATTATTTGGAAACATCCAGTGACCGTGAGAATCATCCACCAGTCTAGGCAAACCTTAACTTGTGAAGTGAACATCCCTGGAAGCAGCCCCTTGATTTAGACTGCAGTAAATGCCTCCAATACTAGAGCTGAAAGAAATTTACTTTAAAATGAGCTGCTTGATTTAACTCCATGGATACTTGGTGGTGACTTCAGTGAGATAACCCATCATGCTAAACACTCCTTGCCTGACGTTAACACTCTCTACTCTCACATGATGGAGTTCAGCAGTTGCCTCAGAGATATTGGCGTTTTTGATTTGTGCTTTTAAGGACCCATTTTCACTTGGTCGAAACCGGAATCCCCCATTTCTAAGAAGCTAGACCACCTCCTGGTTAACCTTCACCTCATATCCTCTTTCCCCAACTATTCAGCTTTTTTCTTCTCTCCCTTAATCTATGACCACTTGTCCTGTCTCATAGACTTATCTTGTCATCTTCCTGTTTCTGGAACCAAACCTTTGTGTTTCTTTAACTACATCACTAAACATCCGTTATTCAACCAACTGGTTATAGAGGTTTGGAATCATGACAGAAGCATGTCAATAAACCTTACTAGTCTGTGTTGGAAGCTAAAGTGTGTTAAAGGAGTTCTAAAACAACTAAATAGAGAGAATTTTTCCAGCATTCAAGTGAGGGTTAATGAGGCTTACTGTTTGTTACAAGTTGCGCACGTACAAGCGCTTGAAGATCTTTCTGAAGCAAATCTTACTCAGGAGCGTGAAGTTCTAAAAAAATTGGATATTCCTAAGGCAGATTGAGGTGTCTTACATTCGCCAGAAATCTAGGGTCAACTGGCTAAAGGAGGGTGATCTGAACACTGCATATTTCTATAGAGTTATCCAAACTAGAGTCAGTTATAACTCCATCCGCTCCTTTCAGCTCCAGTCTGGTGTTTTCATAACTGATCCGCTGCTAATGAGTTCTCACGCCATTCAGCACTTCCAGACCATTCTCGGCCCTACAAACTTTTCTCCTCCTCAGCTATCCTCGCTGCTGGGCTGGTTCCACGAATTGACAGGATTCCTTTGTCCTACTGTCCTCGCTTCTGAAATGACCTCGATCCCGACGGCAGAGGAAGTTACCAAGCTTATGTTTAAATTGAATCCTAACAAAGCGCATGGCTCCGATGGTCTCACATCAGGTTTTATCAAAGTTACTTGGAGTTATGTTGGCCAAGAGGTGATCCAATCTATTCAACACTTCTTCCATTACTCGTTCCTGCCTGCCTCAACAAAGACTACAATTTTAACACTTGTACCAAAGCATCTGGGTGCCTCTCTCATCACTGAGTATCGACCTATTTCATGTCTTAACACCGTCTACAAGGTTGTGTCTAGACTGCTGGTCAAAAAACTAAAGCCTATGCTTCCTTCACTAATTGTACCTAACCAAACTGCTTTTGTTAAGGAAAAATTACTGCTGGAGAATACTATTTTGGCAAGTGAACTAGTGAATGAGTATCAAAAAAGGAAAGGTCCTAAAAGGATAAATATAAAGGTGGACATGGCTAAAGCATTTGACACATTATCCTGAGAATTTCTGCTTTATTATTTGGAAGGATTGGTTGTGCTTGAGACGTTGATTAGTTTGATAAAAAAACGCATATGCACCATTAATTTCACAGTTGGGTATAATAGAAGGGCACAAGGATATTTCAAAGGAAGGTGTGGCCTGAGGCAAGAGGACCCCCTATCCTCTTACCTCTTTGTTATTTCAGTGAACATTTTCTAAATAATGTTAAACAAGGCGGCTTCGGATCTGAAAATCAACTATCACCACAAGTGTACTACTTCTAAACTAACTTACCTCTGCTTTGTTGATGATATCCTCATCTTTATAGATAAGTCTCTTTCCTCAGTCCAGAATGTTTTACAACTCTTGAAGGAGTGTGGGAACCGAAATTCACACCGTCGATTTCCGTAAAATAAGGAAACTTAGGAAAGCCCTAATTTTCTAGAGGATCCAGATCTCTGCGAAATCCAACGACAAGTAACCAACTAAATGCGGAAAATATGAAAACATGATAAAACGAATTTATAGAGAAAGTATATCTTATTTCGATTTCGCGTAAGAGGGTTGCGGTCATTACAAGAGCTTACAAACGCTTTGGCCGCAGGGGCCGTCAGTGAATTATCAACATAAAACCCTAAACCTAGTCGAGTCGCAGCTCGATAACAAAAAACAAAAAAAAAGATAAGAAAAAGAGAGTTTGATTGATTTCAGACTGAACCTTATGAAAGGCTGCCTACGTACCCCTTTCGAGGATCAAGTCGAACGTAGTTCAATTGGTAGATCTGGACAAGAGATCGAAATGCCTGGGCAAGTTCGATCTAGCAATTGAGCGCCAGTCATAGAAACTGAACTTGTCGAGAATAA